TATTGCTAATGTTAATTGAAGTTTTAATCTTTGTTATTGTCATTGTCAGATGTGTGTTTGTTTTGTAATGTGAATAAACAAAGTGGCCAACTACCATCCCAATAATGATATCACCCAATTTCATTGCATCTATGGCATGCGTTGCCTATTTTGCCTCTTGTAAATCGATTACAATGAGCCTGTAAAAGATTACACGAACAAAATTGTCGTTCTGTACAAAAAAACTGTGTTGCAGGAGCCCATGTGGCCACATAGGTAGCCAAAGACATTTTACATTTTTTTTCATAATTCTTCACTGGAGAGTAATATTTTGATTTTGTTGTTTTTTAGTGTTAAGTGTGACTAGAGGAGAAAATTGAGTTTGGGCCGTCCATGGTGAAGGAAAGACCCAATGTTTGGTGTGAAGGCCAAGTTGGTTCAAGTCCTGAAACAAGTGTAGGCAATTTTGTGCCTTGTAATCGATTACAAGAGCCTTGTAAGCAATTACACGAACAAAAATCCGGTTTGTAAAAAAACTTGTGCTTCAGGAGCCAGCTGTGGGACACATAAGTAACCAAAGACAATTTGAGTGAGATAACTGCTGTCAACTTTGACCTTTGCTGACTATTTTAATCATAACTTTTCCCACAGACCTCAAATGATGTGATTCTTTTTTTTATTAGAAAATAGGACTCAAAACTCTTTCCCAATGACTACTAATTTGTGATTTTTGGACACCTGAGTAGTGCAGTTTATTCCTTAATTAACATTTTACACATTCCTGTCAACTCTGACCTTGCTTATTGTTTTTCTCATAACTTCTTCACAAAATTTCAAATGAGTTGATTCTTATTTTGTTCGAATCTAGAACTCAAAGAGCTTTCAAATGACTATCAACCCATAATTTTAGACCACTGTACTAGAGCGGTAGTTTCCCAAAAAAACATTTTTGTAAGCTTCTTAAATGAATTTAATTTCAAGTTATTGTTTCATTTTCTTACTTTAGATGGGAAAATTACAAATTAGTAGTCATTGGAAATATTTTGAGTCTATTTTGTAATGAAAAAAGAATCAACTCATTCGAAGTTCGGTGGAGAAAGTTAAAAGGTTAAAACAACTAGCAAAGGTCAGAGGTGGTAAGAATATAACAACTTTAACTTTAGGGAATTAACTATACCTACTAAGATGTCCAAAAATTACAAATATAGTCATTTGAAATATTTTTGAGTCTATGTTTCTAATAAAAAAAGAATCATATCATTTGGAGGTCTGTGGGAAAGTTATGATTAAAATAGTCAGTAAAGGTCAAAGCCCATATATGTTTTTGAACCCAAGTTAGGTGAACCGCAGAAGCAGTTGTGGGCACATAAGTAGCTAAAGACATTTTACGTAATTTTTCATATTTCTTGAATGTATGAGAGTTCTTTTTAATGTTTAAGGTGATAGAGCTAAAAACGGGTTTTGGGCAATTAAGGACAGACCCAATGTTGGTCATGACCAAGTAACATGTTGTCAACTTTGACTTGTTGGCTATTTTAATAATAACTTTCCCACCGACCTCCAAATGAGTGATTCTTTTTTTATTAGAAACTAGAATCAAAAAGATTTCCAATGACTACTAACTTGTAATTTTTGGACATCTGAGTAGGTACACTTTATTCCTTACAGTTAACTCTTTATAATATTCATGCCAACTTGACATTTGCTGGTGTTTTGCTCATAACTTTCTCCACCGAACTCAAATGAGTTGATTCTTGTTTTTTTGGAATCTAGACTCAAAGACCTTTCAAATTATGCCTTGGTAATCACGTATAGGCCTTTTTGGGCATTGTAATCATTATAAGGACCCCTGTAAACGATTACACGAACAAAATCTGGTTTTTACAAAACTTGTGTTGTAGGAGCGAGCTGTGAGCAACATAAGTAGCCAAAAAAAATTTACGTTATTTTTATATTTTGAATGGATGATAGTTTTTTTTAATGTTTAAGTGTGAGTAGTGCCTGAAAAGTGGGTTTTGAGCAGTCTTTGTGGGGAAAGACCCAATGTTGGTGTCATGACCAAGTTAACATGGTGTCAACTTTGACGTTAGCTGAATATTTAATGATAACTTTCCACCGACTCCAAATGATGTGATTCTTTTTTATTAGAAACTAGACTCAAAAAGTTCTAATGACTCTACTAATTGTATTTTGGACATCTGAGTAGGTACAATTTATTCCTTAAGTTAACGCTTAATATTCCTGCCAAACTCTGACCTTTGCTGGTGTTTTGCTCATAACTTTCTCCACGAACTCCAAATGAGTTGATTCTTGTTTTGTGGAATCTAGACTCAAAGACCTTTCAAATTATGCCTTGGAATCAAGTGAGGACTTTTTGGGCATTGTAATCAATTACAAGAACACCTGTAAAAATTACACTAACAAAAATTTGATTTTGTACAAAAACTTGTGCTGTAGGAGCCCGCTGTGAGCACATAAGTAGCCAAAAAAAATTACAATATTTTTTCATGTTTCTTGTATGAATGAGAGTTCTTTTTAATGTTTAAGTTTGAGTAGAGCCTCAAAATTGGGTTTTTGGCAGTATTTGGTGGAGGAAAGACCCAATGTTGATGTCATGACCAAGTTAACATGCTGTCAACTTTGACCTTTGTTGGCTATTTTAATGATAATTTTTCCCACCGACCTCTAAATGATGTGATTCTTTTTTTATTATAAACTAGACTCAAAAAGCTTTACAATGACTACTAATTTGTAATTTTTGGACATCTGAGTGAGTAGGTACAATTTATTCCTTATAGTTAACGTTTTATATATTCCTGCCAACTCTGATCTTTGTTGGTTGTTTTATTCATAACTTTCTCCACCCAACTTCCAAATGAGTTGATTCTTGTTTTTGTTGGAATCTAGACTCAAAGACCTTTCAAATTATGGCTTGGTAAGCATGTGGAGGTCTTTTTGGCCATTGTAATCGATTACAAGGACCCTGTAAATGATTACACGAACAAAAATCTTGTTTTGAACAAAAACTTTTGCTGTAGGAGCCAGTTGTGGGACATAAATAGCCAAAGACATTTTACGTAATTGAATTTGATCTCTTTTTAGGCACTGTGTGATGTGATTCTTTTTTTAGGCACCAACCCTTAGGCCTATCAAGGTCGCTTAGATAATCGATTTTTGTACCAAACACCCATAACCAAATAAAAGTTCAATATATATGGTCGAAACAAGACTAGTAGAGAACGTATGTTACTAGATCAAAATTGAAATTTTATTACATAAAATATATTATCAGTAACATTTACCCAACATTTATAATCATGATTTTGTATATAAAAAACATGTATAAGTTCCAACTCGAGTGAAAAATTTCTTTCGATTGTGAGGAAGATCGTGAGAGTGAAAGTCATGCTCCAGACAAAGTGGTAAACCTTTTGAGGTTTTCTGGATGCTCTCATAAGGGATTAGGGTGTGTGCTGATGCCAGGAGAAGGGGTAGTGGCGTATGCGTCAAGACAACTCAAGGTTCATGAGAAGAATTACCCCACTCATGACTTGGAATTAGCGGCTGTAGGATTTGCTTTAAAGATTTGGAACACTACCTGTATGGTGCGCAATTTCAGGTGTTCAGTGATCATAAGAGCCTGCGATTCTCTTGATCAGAAAGAGCTTAACATGAGGCAAAGGAGATGGATGGAGTTCCTTAAGGATTATGACTTTGATCTTTTATACCATCCTGGAAAGCCAATGTAGTGGCAGATGCATTGAGCAGAAAGGCAGTGCATATTTCCTCATGATGATAGAGAATTAGAGCTGGTAGCAAGCTTCAGAGATTGCGGTTCAAGTAGAATTTGAAGCTGACAGCATCAGATGCATAATTGGTGGTATCCAATGACTTGTTGAAGTGTGTTAAGAAGAGCAGTCGAAGGATATTGAATTCAGACGTCAGCTAGTTTGATTGGAACTGAACAAGGTAAAGATTTTGCCTTGGGGGTCGACGGTGTTTTTGAGATTTAAAGGCAGAGGCTGTATTCCTTAGCAGCTCAGGATTGAAGAAGTTAATCATGGAAGAAGGTCACAAAGCCGTTTTAGCATGCATCCAGGCATGACAAAGATGTACCAAGACCTCAAGAGGTCCTCCTGGTGTCGGGTATGAAGAGGGACGTGGACAATTTGTGGCTCTTGTTGACTTGTCAAAAGGCAAAAGTGGAAACATCAAAGACTGGAGGTTTGTTGCAACCGTTGAGATTCCCGAGTGGAAAGGGATAGCATCGCGATGGACTTTTACCATTGCCACGCACTATTCGAAAAACATGACGCAATATGGGTAATAGTGGAACGATTGACCAAGAGTGCTCACTCTTGGCAATTGATTTGAGAATGTCTATGACAAAGTTGGCACAACTTATATGTAAGGAGAGTGAGGTTGCATGGAGTGCCTTCGAGTATTGTATCAGATAGAGACCCGAGGTTCACATCGGTGTGGCAAACCCTTCACGAGTGAGATGGGAAGCAGATTCAGATTGAGCTCGGCTTATCATCCCCAAACTGATGGGCAGTCTGAGCGGACAATCCAATCGCTCGAGATTTGCTGAGGACTTGTATTTTGGGACCACCTAGGAGTATGGGATGAGATATTACCACTGGTTGAGTTCACTTATAATAAACAGCTCAGGCAGTATAGGTATGGCTCCGTTTGAAGCCCTGTATGGTAGACGTTGTAGAACACCTGTGTTGGTTTCAGGAAGGAGAGTATGTGTTAACGGGGACCAGAGATAGTTCAACAGACTACAGAGAAAGTGAAGCTTATACAGGCAAGGATGCGAGCATCTCAAAACAGGCAGAAGGTCATATGCCGATCAGAGGCGCAGGCGTTAGAGTTTTGTAGCTGGGGACCATGTGGTTTCTCCGAGTGACTCCAACTACGGTGTAGGAGAGCAATTCGGGCTAGGAAGTTGTCTCCTAAGTACCTTGGTCCCTATCATATCCTACGACGTATAGGACCGGTAGCTTGATGAGATAGCCATGCCACCCCAGTTAGCAAACTTGCGACCGGGTGTTCCATGTATCTCAGCTGAGAAAATACGTGTTGATTCTTCTCATGTACTTGAAGTTGAAAATGTGCAAGTCAGAGAGGATTTGTCAGATAGAAGTGCAACCCGTAAGGATTGAAGAGAGCCAAAACAAACAACTTAGAGGGAGAACTGTCAACTAGTCAGGTAGTTTGGGATAGGAGAACAGGTGATCTACATGGGAGTTAGAAGAAGAAATGAAGCAATTATACCCTCAACTATTTTCTTGATGTATTGAATTTTCGAGACGAAATTTTGTTGTGGGGAGAATGTAAGACCCATGAAAAAGAAAATAATTATAGTAGTAAATTTTAGTATTTATTAGTAATAATTTAATGGATAGAAAAATGTAAATTTTGGATATAAAAATTATAGTAATTTAGAAGGAGAAGTTCAAATTTTTGGTAACTTATTTAGTAAATTTTTTAATGAATAGAAAAGTAATAGTAAATAGTAAAAAGTATAGTAAATAGGAAAAAGTGAATAGTAAAAATAAATTTTCAGCATTTGGATTCCTAGCATGGAAGAAGTAGTAGGTAGAAATTAGGATCAGATTTGGTGAGAAAATGATTGAAATATCTTTTTAAATAATATTAAAATTAATAAATAATATTAAAATATTAATGAATAGTAAATTTTTTTTTACTATAAATAGCCATGGGAGGGAAGGGTATTTGCACCAAGAGAAGAGAAATCAAGTGAGAGAAGTTAGAGAGAATTTTTAGTTGCAAGAAGGGTAGAGGTTCTGAAAGGTTTCGGAGAAAAAATTCAGAGCAGAGACGTCTGGAATAGAGGTAGGGGAGCTAACTTTTCTATTTTTTGTAACCATCTTTACAGTGGGAACAGGGGGCTTATTTGATCAGAGAATTGGATCAAAGGATTTGCCAAAGCCTGCCCAATGGCATCGGATTGCTGTGCATAATTATATGCTTGGGGCCTATGCAGTACAGAAACTCTTTAAAAAGTAAGTGTTTTGTAGGAAAGAATATTTTATTTTAATTGTGTAAATGTTCCAGACTCATTCTTGAAGTTTTAATGCAGCTCTTCAGTCTATATTGAAGGTGACATTGAGACTAGAGTTTATAATGATAGCATCAATGGTGATGTTAAAAGCATTCCAGAGATATGTGTTCGCCGTGATGGTATGGCGACTTACTTTATTTTTTTTTCTCATAGATTGTCTGAAAGACAAACAGACATTAATAAGTTCTTTCTTGTGGATATTGGACATTATATAGGTTTCTTTTATGTTACTCTAATGCCTCCTACTAGGTTAGAAACGTTGGCAACATTAATTTGTGCATTAGCTTGCTTCTACCTTCACAGGGAATGTTAAATTTAAAAGTCAAGGGGGTTTTTTTGTTTTGGGGAAAAGGTGGTTACTATCTAAAAGTTTAAGCGAACCCAATTTGGACGGCTCCTTGTCATCAATGTTAGCCTAATCATTGTAGGAACCATTGTTCCCTTATCTTCAACTTTAAGCTTATTTAATTTGTTGACAACATGCTTTGTTGCAATTTTCTGCAATAGAACTTCTGTTTTAAGAGCACAAGTATGTTTTCTTTGCATGGAAAGGAAGATTTTATCTTTGTTTAAAAGGAGACAGCGGGCAGTGCATTATCTTTTTACTTTTAGCGTTGGAGGATTCTAAACTCACTGAAATTGATTTTATCGTTTTTATTTTTCAATTAATTATTCAAACTTCTTGTTGGCATATTGTCACTTCCTATGTTATCTCTTTAGGGAGAATTCGCCTCATCAAGAGTGGAGAGAGCATCGACAAAACTTCCTTGGATGAATTGCGTAAGTTCTTTTAACTATAGTTGCAAATAATGACATGTTGGAAATAGTTGTGTCTACACAATTGGTAACCATTTTCAGAAGTTAATTACGTGGGTTATGACTAGGGTAAATGAGTTGAGCTGTTAGTCAACTATTCGAGTTCAACTTGTTGAATGCTCAATGAAGCATTGTTTGGTTTTTTAATGAAATAAACCATCTTAAGCTTGAGATTGAATTCAATTATTAGAATGAGTCAGATCTATCTTTGCAAACTCGACATTGACAACATGTGTGAATAATTTGTTTATTTAAATTGATGGAGATAGCCTTTATTATTTATATATTCATTATGTAAATCGGGTCAATTTTGTTGAGCATTAGTTTTTGCATGTTTGGAATTTTTTATATAGGGTATTATGAAGAATGTACTAGTCTATAATATGTTTGAATTGCATGCTAAATTTTGAGCATATGTTTCTATTTGTAGATTATCATCTAATATTTAACACCTTTACTAATACTAAATTGATGAAGTTGTAAAATAATTTAAGAAAAAATTCATGAAAAAAATCAGTTGTAAATAATCCATGAGAGGCAATTTCGAACTTTATTTCAAACTAGACTAACCATTTTTCTTTTTCACAAGCCAAACTTGAACTAAAAGTAACTAGGCTTGAATTGGTTTATTTACATGACGTTGCTTTTAACTTTAAGATCGAAGTGTGTTTATTGACTGATGTTTATACCTGACAATAATAAATTTATGCTGGCAGGTGAAGGGTTGTTTTAGAGGAAATCTGACCATCTGGCGGAAGCATCTACTTCTGTAAAAATCTTAGGCTTCTGAAGCACCATTTCTAATGAATAATGAATGCTTTGGTTGGATTTAATTTTTTCCAATATATTCTTTAGCATTCTGAATTTTCCCATGGTTATTTATGGAAGAGGTGTAGAAGAACTTATTTTTTGTGGCCACTATTTGTNTTTGAGCATATGTTTCTATTTGTAGATTATCATCTAATATTTAACACCTTTACTAATACTAAATTGATGAAGTTGTAAAATAATTTAAGAAAAAATTCATGAAAAAAATCAGTTGTAAATAATCCATGAGAGGCAATTTCGAACTTTATTTCAAACTAGACTAACCATTTTTCTTTTTCACAAGCCAAACTTGAACTAAAAATAACTAGGCTTGACTTGGTTTATTTACATGACGTTGCTTTTAACTTTAAGATCGAAGTGTGTTTATTGACTGATGTTTATACCTGACAATAATAAATTCATGCTGGCAGGTGAAGGGTTGTTTTAGAGTAAATCTGACCATCTGGCGGAAGCATCTACTTCTGTAAAAATCTTAGGCTTCTGAAGCACCATTTCTAATGAATAATGAATGCTTTGGTTGGATTTAATTTTTTCCAATATATTCTTTAGCATTCTGAATTTTCCCATGGTTATTTATGGAAGAGGTGTAGAAGAACTTATTTTTTGTGGCCACTATTTGTAGTTTGGGTATGAATATATATCTAGTTTGGAAATATATATCTAGTTTGCTCATGTTTGAAATGACAGCCTATCACTTGCAATCATTTCCAGAATATTAAGGGTGATTCATGGTCGGTGAGGAAAAAAATGTTCAAATTTCGCCTTTGGTATCTTAGAAATCTACTACTTCGTTATTTCTTGAGACGTATCTTCATCTTCCTGAGAGATGTATACAGAAAATGGCATTCACTAAGATTGAATTACAAAAGATGTAATAAAATGGGATCGAAATTGAACACATGTATTTCTATTAATAAAACTGCTTCAAATAGTCCTAGAATATTGCTAAACGCTGGAATTTTCATTTTCGTATTACCCTAATTTTTCGGCAAAGCAATATAAGTGGATATACTTTTTATTTAAATGCATTATAAGACTGACAGGTGGTCAATCAAAATGCTTTTAAGATGAGAATAAGATTATGACTAGTATTTCTTGCTACGGACTACGCATCCATTAAACTCTGAAGGCCAAAATAATGCATTACTAAAAATTTAATAACTTTAATCATCTTGTACATAATTGCTATTAAGAAATCATGATGTTTTCGTTGTGCTATATGATAGGATTCCGCTTCTATAAAAGAGATGAGGCTACCAGAGAGTCCACATATCGTATGTTTAACTTTTAAATCAGATTCCTTAAAAAGAAAATACATCAACAATTTGTTTGTATTTAATCTGTGCTAAGTTTTCTATCAAACTCAGAACCAATGTATTTCGTGAAACTCTGTCATAGCAAATACTAAAATGCAGGAGACAGGTTTGTCTATTACCTGGTTGTAACTAGAGAATCCAAATCCAGCCCTACTATTTTGTCCACAATTACATTAGACGAGTTATTTATAGACTATAATTTATTTCTTCCAATATACTTTATTTCATTGGTTAATGGTAGAAGTGTGTTAGTTCAGTATTTATCATAACGAGATCCCATTAAAATTGAATTTTACGTAATTTAATAATTTTAATAAATGTCATTTGATAGCAAAGTATATCATTAAAGAATGGAGCATCACTAATGAAAGTCATAAAGTCTTATTTTAATTTGTTTGTGTTTCCCTTATCATATCGTTTTTAAGATTTTCTTGTAAACAATTTAACAGTGTTGAATGTTTACAGTTTTTGCGATAATGAAAAATGTTAATACAATTAATAAATTTGATATAACTATTATTACAACGAAAAATAATTACTATAACATGAGAAGTAAAATTGTAATAAACTATATATAAAAATATTGTTTAACTTTTCATAGCAATTGTTCATTGTAGGTAGTTTCTTGTAGATAATAGAAACTATAAAATTAGTTAATAAAGATAAAAGATACGAAGGTTAGAAAGAAGTAAAAAACGTATAAAAAAGACAGTTACAATAATCAATCTTATATTTAATTGATATAGATAATAAAATATTCATTTTTTATTTTTAAGTTTCAAGGTCTTATGTAATATTTGAGTTTTAAATTTAAGATTTTTTATGGAGGGTTTAAGAGTCGTCTTAAACCTTTTTATGATAAAAGTTGAGCATCATGTTGTCTAACAGTCACGCCCGATGAAGTAGCAAATAGTTGTTGACAACTCCACAAGGAGGTAAACATTAAATTGTCATTTAATTTTACATGCCGTTAGTATCAAACTATCAGAAGTTATCTACTAGCCATCGTTGTTTGTTCTGTCAGTCAGTCCAACAGCAGAGCACATACACCAAAAACAAACTTTCAACAACCTCCAATAGACCAAATCTCAACCTCATTCTTACACACCTTTTTGACAATCACCATCCAAATAAGAATGCTCACACTGCCAGCGAAAAATTATACTAATATTTACTATGTTTACTAGAATACTGTACTATGCTGTTTCTGAGGGCCTGCTAGACCTTTTTCCTTCCATGGCATCTTTCTTCTTCTGACAGTTTGTGCAGAGGAACGGACCTTCCCATGGCTTAGATACTGGAGAAAAAAAGGACCCAGTGTTCATTGATAAACCATCTCCAGAGGGTTGATCAGCTTGGCAAACCGCACAGCGGAACATTCCAGAATTCGTACTAGATGGAAAATCCTTACCCAATCTGCACTTTAAGAAAACAGACTTTAAGTGTCACAGATACATGTATTGAGAAAAGAAACAATTTTGTTCTCACTTTCCTCCAAGGTAAAGCGATTGTTAAACTTGAAACGGCAGCATGCAAATATAAGTTTAATATTTACAGTCCGAGTTACCTTTCTGTAAGCATAGCAGAACCCTCTTCAAATAATTCCTCCACAACACCTACAGCTGAAAGCTTATTGGTACTTTTGTTTGTAGAGTTTTGAGATTTCTTTCCAAATAAAAGGGAAGTTAGCATATTGTGTTTCTTTGTAGGAATTGTTGGTAATACAGGATGATCTGACGGAATAATATCTACAACAAGGCAAGTTGTATCATCCTTCAGTCCCCTTGTCCTTAGAGCTTCCTGTAAAAAAAGAGTTAAAACCAGAACACAAAGCATTGAGTAGAGAATATAATGGCCGTTCCTGAAAACATAGTAAGATTCCCTAAATTAATCATCACCTTGACCACCATCTTTGCAGCCAGCTCAGCAGGTAGACCCCGGCATGACTTGGCAGCCATTTCAGAAGATAAAGCATCCCAAATGCCATCAGAAGCTATAATAAGTCTTCCACCAGCTTTTGAAAGCTGGCAAACCAATAAGAGAATATCGTTAGAATTGAAATTTAGAACTAAACGCATCCACATAAAAGTGACTATCCATCAATAAACTAAGACTATAAAATCAAACAAACCAACCTTCACTTGCTTAACGTGTGGTATTGGCACAATAAATTCTCCGACATCTGTGTCACCAATTGATCTAGAAAGGCACAATCCACCAGGCCAGCAACGAAGAGGTCCTACCTATAAATTTTATCAAGGAACCAAAACGAGCTAGTTAAAAATTCACTGATTAGAAAGGAATAGGAAGGTTACAATATACCTCATTGCCTCCAAAAACGTTCAGTCTTCCTACTTCACCACCACTGGCAGTAATGCGTTCCCTCTCTTCTACATTTTCTTCCAATCTGTGATCAACTGTCAAGAGAGAGACGACACCTCCCTGTGTATCTAATATGCAACGGGAATCCCCGACAGATGCAACAGTAACAGTCCATCCATCAATCAGAACAAATGTAGCTGTTGTTCCAGATGTTTCCCCTGAAGGTGAAATTAAAAGGTTGGGAAAAGTAGGTTTCTTGAACTTCAACTGGGATTCAAAGAAAATTCTGAAAATGTACCTTTCTTCTGAAACTCTATGTCAGTTTTCACAAAAGCAACAACTAGAGCACGAGGCAGAGCTTGAAGCCACTCATCCCTACTGATATCTTGCTGTATTGCAGTCAAAACATTACTTAGTATGTTTTCCTTCGCAAAGATAGCAGCAGACATACCATTATGCCCATCAAAGATCTGCCAATCAAGAATTCCTTATGGATATCATAACCATTGTGGGAATAAATTGACGCTCCACTTGATCACTGAGAAAAATATAGGAGAAGAAAGAAAACATACACTTCAATTCTCATTTATTTACTAAACCTGAGAAACAAACATGTCTCCAGTGTGCATAACCGTATTACTGATTACCAATTCAGGCTTATGTTAGGCTAAATTCCCATCTCTATCATGATTCAGATATCTATCCAGAACATTTCACCAAAAGCAAAAAGGACGCTAATCATGTTAAGTAAATACAACTTAAAATGTAAACAAAGAAAATGAATAATACCGCAAAGACAGAAAAAAGTGTTGATGAATCCCCAGGAACTCTCTGGCAATCCGTCTTGATTAGAAAGTAATCTTCTCCTTTCTTTGCCAAGCCAGCTTGCCCATACTTCACAAAAGGCTTTTCAATTTTTCCATTTCGTAGCTCCCGGCCAATCAAGGTTGCCAGTGGGACAGGTGGCTGCTTCATATTAGATAATTCAGTCCTACTCATCTTAGTTCAAAATTAAACATTTCTGCAACCCCGGTGAAGAAATCCTAACCATCCACACAAAATTTGAAAACAAAAAATGAAAGACATAATAAGATTCATGATCAACAATGAAAAGAAATACAAAAGACTCAATTATCCCAAGCAGATCTACATGCTTTTAAGATGTCAATAATATTATTTACCAACACAATTCACACACGCATAGGGCGGAGATAGAGATCACACTATAATATGACACTGCTTATTTTCAAAGTAAGATCCATTTAATATTTGAAGTTAAACTTCCCCCACTCAGCAAACACAAGGAGCAAAGAATCTGGAAGTCTAGAACAGATCCTAGATAAATTGCATTTTAATATAAAACACCACAAAGAACTTACTTCCGAAAACCAAATAAACCCATAAAATTAAAAAAAGTAGGAACCAAATTCCCAACAAATTCCAGAAAAAGTTAAAATTGAACAATTATCTCATAAATAATGATCTATTTGAGAATATGCATAGCCACCTAACAAGGATGCTGTGTTTCAAACGAAAATAAAGTGAAATAGTGGATGGGTGGGAAAAGAAACACTCACAGTAGAAAAATGAAGATGAAGGATTCAGCATTTGGAGAAAAATATGATAAACCCTAATAGGTGTGAGTGTGGATGAAGGCTCCACGGGCTCAGGGAGTGAGAAAGGAGAGATCTTGCTCTGTTATTTGATTGGTAGAGAAAAGTTTCTAGACAGAGGAAACGCGTAGTGAGAACCAAATCACCTTTTCTTCTCAAATGTAAACCTCAAATTTTTGTTAGTCATAACATGAGACGAAACGCCGTATCCTTAAAATTACATCAGTACCCCTCTGTCTCAGAATAATTCTGTAACAGCAAACATAAATTATTGAAACAAAAAAGCATACAACAAAAAATAATGATTTTTTTAAATTACTAATGAGAAGGGTATTTGTGTAAATAACATTTCTTTTGTATATTTCTATTAGTAATTATTTTAAAACAGGGTTAGTTTTCCAATGTCCCTATCTTGATTTTTGGAAGCAAAGATTTGTCTACCCAAATTATGTTTCCTTGTCACTGTCATTGTGAAAAAACGTCAACCTCTGCCCTTTAATCTCGTTGTTAAGAAAAAAAATCATTGCCAGATCAGTAAATTCTTGTTTCTATTTTTTTATATTAAGATTGATATTAAAAAATTATAATATATTAATATTGTTGTATCTTTAATGTTTAATAGAGAATAATATAAATAAAATTCAGCAGATAATCTCGTAAAAATTTCTTTCTGCTACTTTTTTTTATATATTTTTTCGTTTTTCTTTTGTAAGAAGATTTTTTTATTATATAAGTTCGATATTTTCTCAAGAATGTAACAAAATTACGCTTGTGATTGGGTCGCTGTCTAGTTTTAGAGACAATGATATAAGAAAAGGTCAAAATTAGAAAAGTTAAATCATAAAATATAATAAATATCAGTGACAAGTTTTTCTTTTTTCTAAAATAACAAAAACAAACTTCTCTTTGGTGATAGATGAGAGTATTTATCTTAAAATAAAAAGTTTTCTAGCATTTATGGAGTTATATTATTATAAAATCCAAATTCATTATTTTCCATCCTGGTTACATTCACTTATACTTTTTCAAGCTTTTTATTTAAAACAACAAAACCAAATAACAAATGAGAGAGTGAACAAAAATGTAAATTAAGTTTTAAAATAACCCGATTCTACTATTTATATCTTTAAATAATAGTGTATTTTAATATTATTGCAACTTTACTTCATTATTTGAGTCTATATTTATAGTAAATGATACTCATCTTATTAAGAAAACATAATATAATTTAATTAATTGGAAACAATTTTATTTTTCTAATTTTCTGAGCTGTACTTGAATTGGCAGAATTAGTGTGTTTGCTGGCATGAATCTACTAAAAAAAGAAAGATTTATAAAACCAAAAGTCAAAACGTTGGTGACAACATTATCGTGATTTACTTTCCTATTTCCAAGTATGTTTTTGCTATCATTGTCTCAACAAATTTAGGTGATTATTAAAGGGTCCATTCACAATATTTTTTAATAAAGTGTGTTACATATTATAATCTTCAATTTCATTTAGTAAAAATAATTTAGACAAATATCAGTTAGCAACCTCTTTATTTACTTGCTCTGCTTTCTAATGTTCGGTAAAATTTAATATCGAAGGAACGTTTATTTTTTTTTTCTTTTACAAATATTGAAGTAAAATTTAAAATAATAGAAAAAATTGTTATTACTTTTAAAAGTTAATTTCAAATCACTTTTTGTTCTACTGTCTATTTTAAAGTGTAAAATTATGTTAAAATTAAAAGAAGAAAAAATATTTAAATTATTTCAAACCTTAATTTATAAATGATGTGAGACTATTAGGTGTAATAGAAATAATTTTAATAAAAAAAATTGTATGATTTAATAAAATAATTTTATATTTAATTGATTGGTTTTTATTATCAAATTTATTGTTTTATCTATCTAAATAAATTGTTTACATAGATGGAAGGTTGGAAAAATTATATTATGCTTTCATAATTAGGTGTGAAAGGAAAACATAAAAAATTCGAAAAAATTGTACTATTATATGTTTTTCTTCTTTTATTTCTGTCTATCAAACAACAAATAAATTATTTTCTTTTTTATTTGTTTTCTTTCTAAAATAGCTTAGGCACATGGTGTTATTATAGTACTGTAGTTTTATTATTTGGTGTGATTTAATTAATGATAAAAATTATGTTTTTTCCTATTTCTTTTAAGAAATTTAAATTTCTTAATTATGTATAATAGTTGTCCAAGGCTAACCCTCGTATTAGTTTTAGATAAAATATGTTAAAAATGAATCTTTTTAAACTTTAAAAAACTTCAATAGCTGTTAATCTTAATATTATAAAATAATATAATTATTTTAATGTGAAGTGATAAACAATAAAATGTTTTATAAAATGATAGAGAAACATAATTTTGAAAATGTTAAAGATTAGAATATGTGAGTTGTCTTATATGAATGAGAAATTTAAGAAGTTATTATATTATAGAAGGAAATGTGATGGTGACGTGGCCACGTGGTGTAGGTATCCCTGCGGTTACCAGCTGGAAAGGCTATTATCTGTCGCCCACACAATAAGTTGTTGATATTGTTGGGCCCACTTTCATTTCCTTTTCCTTTTGGACACTCTTGTTGACTTTTTGTAAAATTATACTATTTTAATCACAATAAATAAATTAAATTAATATCACCCAATATCACTTTATTTTATATATTTCCTCAATTTGACGTAAAGATAAAACAACATAATAATGTTTGATCTTTTATAAAGATATTATGCTATTTTTAGTAGTTTTATTGTGAAATTTGTTAAAAAAATATACATTTTGTAATGAGAATGGTTATAGAAGTAATTTTGTTATTTTTAAAATTACAATTTTTTCTGATATTTTTTTGCGGTTGAATAAATGAGTTGTGAATTTTTATTCCTTATTTACTTTTTTGCAGTTGAATAAATGAGTTGAAAATTCACATGACAAACGTTGTACTTCTACTTTCACATTACTAAACCATTTTGCATTCTATATGATCATCTATATCACAATCAACAATAACATTAACTAATCCCTCCAACTGTTGAGTATTTACATCAATACTACCATGGTTACTAGAGGAACTCCAACTACGAGCATCAACTTCCTCCTTCACAACTTCTTCACACTCACACACCTCTTGTTCTATGTTACCCTCACCTTTAACTTCACCATCAAAATAAGTTGGATTTTCTGACACACCACCATCTTCTTCACCCTCGTGGACCTCTCCCTGTATGTGAGGCTCACCTTCCACTTCAGCAACACAATCACCCCTATCTTGTCTTCCAGTATCACCTTCACATTGACAACCAACTTTACCTACAAACTCACTGGTCTCATGCAACACAGGTTTCAGTTATCCTTCATCATCATGAATATATTCAAGCACATGTATGCCTTGGGGTTTAGAAACAGTGTGTACCACGAATACATGAACATGACCATTAAGTCTAGCTAAGTTAACCATATGCATGACACTAATGTCATCACACAAAGGTTCTAACTTGTCTTCCAACACTGAACCCCCTTCTATAGAGTACCACAAATCTTTAAAACCTACGTATCCCAAACCTTTGACTACACTAACAACCACAAAGTAACTCCAAATATATGGGTCAAAGGACAACTTAGAAGTCTCTCCTTCATACTTCAGGGTCCCATCATTAACGAACTTCCCTCCATGGTGGAAAATAGCCTCAATGTTCTCGTCTATTACGCACAACACTATATAAATATTTCTACACCTATGATGTAAATATATCATGACAAAAAATAAATATATTAAAACGATAACCATAACACACTCAAACATACACTGTAAAACAATTTTAAACATGGGGGACCACCACATTGCAATCAAGAACGCAAAGCAAACCATTTCAACCATGGGGACCACCACAATATTCCGGTTTCCCAAAACAAACACAATACAACCATAAAAAACCACAACAAAAAGCACAATTACTAACCTTGCTTGAGATTGAGCTCCAATGAGCACGTCACACGTGCTTCAGCTTTGCGCTTACAATGACACACGGTTCCACAATTTACGAAAATGACCAAAGTCCTAAAAGTGCACAATTTCAAACTGGTATAAACCCTAGTTTCCCATAACTACTCCCCACTTTCTCTAATTAATTCCTAATTTTTTGTCAATGAAGCTTAATTCGAAGAAACACTCACATTCTTTTTGCAATTCTTAATTTGAAGAAAGTCCTGACTTTAATTAACTTTTTCCTCAATTTCTTTAATTAAAAATAAATATATATACGTCAAAATCACCAAAACGAAATAACTAGCCCACGTCATTTAAAAAAAACATACTAAGTATGTCACGTCAACGTCAATCTATTGGCGTTGACCCAATTTGATAGTATGGGTCTAAATGGAACAATTTTGTAAAAGTAAGAATCCAATTATGACAAAAAAAAACTAAGAGACTTATTTGAGATTTTCAGAACTTATTTGAGATTCTCAAGATTTATTTGACATTCCTAACCAAAAAAAGGCGTGACAAATGATTAAACGTTATTAATAAAATCTGAATCCAAGTACATAAAAAAGGTTTATATCATTTTCAACCAAAAATCTTAAAACAATTAGTTTATGAATCTTGTTTCTATGTTCCTCTCTCTTGTTTATATATAACGTGACTTGGTTCATACTTTCAATTTTCAATATTCATATATATATATATATATATATA